TTCTTTGCTCCTGCTCATGCATATCTATCAAAATTAAGCGCAATGTTTCCTGCCGAGGTCTGAGCGCCAAAGACTAAAGTAATTGTATCAATAAATTTCTTCTAATTGTCTTTTCTCTTCGTGTGAGTTTTTCAGATTAAATTAAACATCGGCCGGTTCCAGGTTTTTTATAATCTGATGTCAATATCACATATTTTGACATCAGTCTAACCCTATAAAAACTAATAACCCTAAACCTGCTGTTCCCTCTGATAGCCATCTATTGTGGTTTTCTTTGATCTTAATAACTAGTTTTTTTTTTTGTTTACATTTATAAAGATTCATTTAAAGTTATAGAGAAGCGGCTGTTCCAACGGTTGCAGTTGCTAACCAGTTAGCAACTTAGTGCTAGCAGGTTCCCAATGGGAAATTCCATTGGGACCAAGTAGCACTAAATTGGTGACTTAGAAACGACGCTGTCAAGGAACGCTATGGACAGAGGAAACATGCAAGAGGAGGAGAGTTTACTGTCGGAGGTCGTGGATGAGTCTCCTCCGTCATCCATGTTTTATTTAGAGGAGGAAAGCGGGGACGAAGATGTTGCGGAAGAGGACGCCAGGGCGGCAGAAGCTTGGTTTGGTGTAGAAGGCTTCCAGCCGTACATGTTTGAGCCCTTGCCTCGCAACGCTGCCAGTTCTGTTAGCTCTACGCCTGCCGAAGACACAGACGTCCATCCCCGTGAACACTGGGACGCAACTCAATGGGAAAGGAAAGGATTCTGATTTCAACCGTTGCGTATATTAGCTGCGACATATGAATCAAGATGCTATGACCGAAAACATTTGATGGACAGATGAGCGTTGATATATGATTGGCCGAATTTAGGTGTTCAGGCTGACGTAGAACTAACTGGCCTGCAGAAGATAACGAAAAAAGACAGATTTTAAGACAGGATTTTATTTTAAATAGAAATGTTCTAACTTTTGGGACAATATGGTCTGATAAAGAGAACATTTATACACATGTTTAAGCCAGAATGATTGAAAAATAAATATAATTTCTAACATTTTTTAGCATTAATTGTAATTTTTTGTTTTTTTGCAAATTGAAGAAAGAAAAGCAGAATCTACTTCAAGAATCAGAACCAAAAATATCAGGGATCTGTCAGACTATTTTCAAAATAATTGGTATCGGCACCGGCCCTTAAAATCCAAAACTTTAAGCACAATAAACCCATATTTTTTATTCCTATTTTCTCTATTTGTTTCAATCTCCTCCTATTAGCTGAAAGCAAATTAGTGATAAATTATTATCTTTCAAATAGAGCTTATTAATTTCTTATTTGATAAGATATTATTATTTATACTTGGATTAATAGAAAATAGTGTAAAGTTTTTAATTTTTCCTTCCTCCAAAGTGATCAGATATAATTTTGATTTATTTATAAAAGAAACTTATATAATTTTTAACCATTTACATCAGAAAATAGTCATGAAATGATTAGTTTGGTTTATTACTATGTGGCTGCGGAACGAAGAGTTTAATTAACATACAAAAATACATTTTAAGTATTTATATTTTAAATAATGTATTTAATAAAGAGGAGGTCCAAAATACGGAACCAACAGAAAGCTAGCTAAAAATAACAAAAATTCACAACCGCTCGGCTGTTAATAGTGACAAACCCGAACTATTTTTAAAGTTAGTAATGACTAAATATTATCTATAAAACCAAAGGTAGAATAATGAGAAAGTTGAAGGAGTAAAACTAAAGTTATCGCTAGCTGCTCCGGCTAACGGAGTTTAACCGTTTAAATCCCAACATTGACCCGTTTACCTCTTATACGTTATTTTAAACTCTTTTATTCACCTAAACATCACTCAAAACGTTCCAAAAAATGTCACTTTAACCATAAACCAACAGTTCGAGGAGACTTTAGGACAAAAAGATCGATTTAAAGTAATAAATCAGACTTGCCTTGAGTTGGAAGTCACAAAGTTGCTCGCCGCTTCGGGAAGGAGACGAACAATAAATGTTGCCATTCATTTTGTCCCTATCGACTGACCAATCACAAGTCAGATGACGTTCTTGGTCTCTGACATCATTGGACGCTCTTCTGCCAATCACATAAAACGGGCGGGCTATAGACTTTGTTGTCCAATCAGAGTGGGAGGAATGGACACAGGGACGTTTGTATTAGTTTGATGATTAACCAGAGTGTGGTGCTGTTTTAACGCAGTAGGTACAAAGAACAACGATTTCCAGAAAAAAGTGGGAGTTTTAATTCCAAATAAAACGGTTCTTATTTATGTTCTAATTTAATGTTCATAATTAGTTAACCTTTTAGGTTTTAATACTGTTAAAAGTGTTATGAAAACAAAACTTGGCTTGTTTAACCTTGGAAATGACTTTCCAAATAAATTAATTACAGTCTACAGGTGAAACACATAATATCACATAGAATAGAATAAAATAAAATAGAATAGAAATATTCTATATAGGTAAACTTATAGAAAGTTGGGAAATTCATCTGTATAAGAAGGGGGAAAGAGAAACGTTTAGTGTAAAGATACAGTCCAGATTTCAAAATGACACACTGAGATTAACCAAACATGACACTGAGTTGGGTGATTTTGAAAGTATACAAACATGCACTTATAGCTGTGCAGAAGATGAAGAAAAAAGAACAGAAAAATATGCAGGAAGTTCAGTCCAGGTAGTTTGGGTCATGGGGGGCCCAACATGATCAGTTATATGGAAGCAGGTAACAAACCAGGTAAGACGCTCAACTTCAGAGGCTTTAGAAATATAGTGAAAGAAATAACTCAGATGTAGAAAATAAATGGTAAAAATGCTAAATAAATACTGTGCAACTGATTATAGCTTCTGATTTGTTATTTTTAAAGAAACATTGTATCAAACAAACATACAACTGTTGGCAAAATGTTGGATTGTAAAGGCTTAAGTATAAAATACATAAAATAATAAACTCATGCAGAAGAAACCAATTTCTAAACAGCTTTTGGGGGAGACATATATTGTTTATTTATGTTTAATTTCTCTAGATTACTATTTGGTAAATTGATGCATTATTATATATAGATTAAATATCGAATAATTAATGACAGTCTTGGGCCTATCAGGTGGTTAGACCCCGGATTGACTGTCGTGGCGCAGGAATTAGGGCGCCATCTTGGTAAGGTCGACCTGCTACCCTAACCTGCTGCTTTCAGTAGAACAGAAGAAGGATGCCTCATCACTGTGCAGAGTATTTTTGTTTTAATCAACAGACTGTTGAAACCAGGGCTCTGGGAATAACTTTCTGAAGCATCAGAGCTTTGGAAGACATTACTAAATAAACAGCATAAATGCACCACATAGAATAGAAACTCCCTTTGTTGTCCCACATTGGGTAAATTGTGGTGTTACAGCAGTAAAAGATTATAGCAAAAGTGATCGCACAAATGTGGACCTTAAAAAGTTCATTAAAATAATAGATTAAGTTTAAAAAAAAATATCCAATTTAATTTGTTAAGCACTTAAAAACAACCACAGCTGACCAAAGTGCTGTTAAGAAAAATAAATTAATAATAAAAAAGTATAAATAAAATTTTTTTTAATAAAACATGGGTAAAAATAACATTCACGTAAAATAAATATAAAAAATAAAATAATAAAATACCGTACTGTTTTTACAAATATAAACACTGTGCATCTGAAGAATGAATAATCAATATACAGATGTGGACATTTTTACTGTATTTTGCAATATTTGTAAAAAAATATTATATATAGAAATATTGTAAAAATACTGTAAAAATGTCCACAGCTCTATATTGATTATCTATTCTTCAGATGCACAGTGTTTATATTTGTAAATTATAAATATATATTTCTATTTTTATTGATACAAATTATAAATATATATATTTATATATACATAGAGCGAGAGATATTTGTGTGTATATTTTTGCATACCTGTGTACATCTGAATATAGTAATAAAAAAATTATGAAAATGTATGAGTGGCTGTGCTTTGCAAGATACCTCCATCCTATCAGAATACTCTGTTACTCTTAACCCCACCGATAATATTTAAATACACTCAACCATTTGTTTTGTTTATTGCCAAAAAACAAAAACTGTGAAAATTAGTTCAATATTCAGAAAGTTAAAGTTGATTCTGTGCCTGCTCAACACATAGCTGTCGACCGCCCCAAGATGGCGCCACCAAATCTCGTCAGCTCTAACAGGTGATAGCGATCGATGGTTCAAACCTCCCTGCCTATAGACCAAGCAGTTCCCCTCTACACCAGAAGGTGGCAGCAGTGATACCATCATGTGGGATGTCCTGCTGTGACATTTTATTTTACAGGAATTAATTATTCACAACAACATATTACAACCAAAGAGGTTTAATGCAGAAACCCTCCTCTCTTATTAATTAGTTTTAATGGTTTATGGAGTAAAGTTTGGTTCTGTAGTCATCTAGGAGTTTTCTATGTAGTTAAAGAACAACTGTTTCCGTCATTTAATGTGTATAATATTTAGAACCATAGATCAATTTAAACAGCATTGATGAATAAAATGTTTCTACTTTTATTAGCTATGCCTTCAGAACATCTGGTCTGTCTTAAATGATTTATTCTGAAAATCTAGATATTGTGCTTCAATCATTTTCAGGTTGGTTCATGGTGATCAGTAGGCTATGCACTGCAAAAACCATCTAGAAAGAAGTAAAATAGTCTTAAAATAAGTGTATTTTCTCTTGATTACAGCAGGTAAATAAGATGATTTGCCAATGGAATAAGGATTTTTACTCTTAAAATAAGGTAACACTTGAAATAAGACAATGCAATAGTTTTTTTTCTTATTTTAAATGTAAATTGTCTTCTTCCAGTGGCAAAGTGTCTCACTACCAGTTCCTTTAAATCAAAACTAAAAACACATTTGTTTAAGATTGCCTTCCACTGCTCAAATAAAACATCATTAGTAAACTTTTTTATTTTCTTTAGTCCAACTGTTTTTAATATATATATATATTTTTTTGTTTCTGCATTTTTTTATTTTATTTTATTTATTTTTTTCTACTTTCTTTGAATTTGTTTTC